CGGCGCTCAGCGAGGCGCCGTAGGCGGCCACGGTGTTGGCGGCGGCGCCGGCGGCCGCCGGCTTGCAGGAGAACTTCTTCAGGTTGGGCGACGTGATCTTCTGGACGATGGCCTCCAGCTTGAGGCCGCGGCCCTTGCGGGGAGGCAGCACTTTGGTCTTGGTGGCCTCCTGGAAGGCCGCCCGCGAGGTGATCTTGATGCAGACGTCCGGGGCCTCTTTGGCCGGGGGAGGCTTCAAGATGGCCTCGCCGGCACCCTTGGGGGGCAGCTTGGCCTTCACTTTCTTGGCCACCGGCATCTTCTTGAAGAGGCTGGGGGGCGCCTCGGGCTTCTCCTCCTTGATGCCGCCGCTGTTGCTCCGCAGCACCAGGTTTCTCTTCTTGGCGGGGATGGGGGACATGAAGGTGGACTTCCTCTTCAGGGAGTGCAGAGGCCGCTCGGACATCTTGCTGCCCATGCCCGGCCCCGCTTTGGGCAGCTTCATGCGCGAGCCCACCTTGCCCTCCTTGTGGGGGCTGCCCTGGGGCGTCAGCTTGAAGGCGGCCGGCAGGTGGTTGTTGGAGATGAGCTTCTTGGGCGCCTTGCAGTTCTTGAGCCGCACGTCGGCCGCCCGCTTGCCCCTCCGCCTCTTGGTGTAGAAGACCTCCTGCGTCTTCGTGCGGGAGCGCAGGATCATCGACCGCTGGTCCCTGTCCTCGGCGTCCGGCGCGTCGCCCTCGGGCGCCGGCGGCCCCACCGGCTCCTCGGTGGCCACCAAGCCGGGCACCAAGAGGGCGGCATCGCCGGCGATGACCTTGGGGGCCGGGCGGCCGCTGCGCTTCCTGGCTTTGAAAGCCACGCGCTGCTTGACGCCGCAGCCGGGTTTCTTGCCCAGCTTCTCCTGGTGCGCCGGCGCCTTGAGCGCCTCGAGCGGGGCGGGCGCGCGGGGCTCGGCGAGCGCCGTGACGGAGCGCGTGCACATGCGAGCCGGCAGCCCCTCGGCCGGGAACCTCGGCGTTTGGCTCTGGGCGCTTTTGCTCGGCAGCTCCATCTGGCCATCTGGCCCGACACATGTGCCGGCCACGCCGCCAGCTGCCGGCAGATCATTAAACGGGCTTGGCACCGCTTTGCCGGAGTCGTCTCCCTCYGACAGCCGGCAGTGGACTCGCTTGTTGCGGAGGCTCTTGCCCCTGGAGACGGGCTCCGGCTTCCCCAGCGCGTTCTCGGGCAGCAGCTGCTTCTTGACGGCGAGCGACAAGGCCGACTCGGCGCTCATCRGCTCCGCGGGCGTCTTCTCCTCTCCGCCGGCCTCCTCCTCCGGCTTCATGTGGGGCAGGGAGGACTTGAACCAGCTCTTCACCTTGGTTTCGGTGCCCACGGCGGGGCCGAGGAGGATCACGGACTGGCCGGATAATCGYGCCGACGGCGCCGAGCTCTCCTTCTCCACGGCGCCGACGGTCTCTTCGGCGGACACGGGCACCTCGCTGGAGGACAGCACGGCGGGCACCTCGGGCGCGTTGGCTGGTGACGCGTCGTAAATCGCCGCCTTCTGCTCCGCGCTCGCCAGCGCGCACAGCGACGAATACTCCTCCGCTTCCAGGTCGGACTCCTTCAGCTCCGGGGAGGAAATCATGGGGATTTCGCCGAAGTCGCCGCCCGAGCAGCAGTGCCGCGTGTCCTGCAGCCACCGCTCGCCGTCYGCCTTCGCAGCCTCGTCGTAGGTCAGCGTCTCTTCCTCGTCCTCCTCCATGGCCTGCTGGCTGAAGTCCCCGGCCGGCTCGCTCTTGGCTGGCTGCTCGCCGTCGCACACATCCAAGCTGCAGGAATTCTTCTTCTCCTTGCAGGACGCCGCCAATTTGCTCGGGAACAAGCCCTTGGGAAGGTCGGCGGCTTGCAGGCCCGTCCCCAGCTCCTTCCACCTCAGGCAYGGCTCGCCGAGGCTCTCGTCGGGCCACTCGAAGTGCTCCATGGTGCTGTCGGAGCCCACCGAGTTGGCAGTGGTGTTGGAATAGCAGCTGTAGCCGGCAGCCCCGGAGCTGGAAGTAGCAGCTGGGATGCTGGGCTTGGAGTTGTACGCCAGCGAGGTCGCGTCTTTGAGCGCGTCCTTTGTCTCGGCGGCTGCAAACTCCACCGGGGCGCTCTCATAGACCTCGTCACCAAAGTCCTTCCCCGCGTTGCCCCCCGAGGCCTTGTCCAGCTTCAGGGGCTCCGTGAGGGTGCTGGAGTCRCCCTGGCTAGGCCAGGTGCCCTTCACCATGTTGTCCAGGCACGGCCTGTGGTTCTCCAGGTGGAAGGGGGCTTTCGCGGCCTCCTTGTTGAGCATGGGGGAGTTGGGCCAGGCTTTGTCCGCCTTCTCGTTGATGGCGTCCTGCAGGACGATGATTTCGGAGGCCAGCTCCTCCTGGGACAGGGCGCTGAGCAGCAGCCGGGGACAGTCCCGCTCGTTGGTCACGTACTTGGTGAAGGTCTCCAGGGGCAGGCTCGCATGGATGCTCTGGAAGGAGTCGTCCGATTTGGTGGACATGTCGTCCGGAGAGGTCACGGAGCAGGTGGACACCGACTCGGGCTTCGCCTTGGAGTTGCTGTTGACGCRGGCAGGGCTGCGGTTCTGGTTGCAATACAGGAAACTCCTTTCCAGCTGGTCCTCCGACCCGCTGAGATAATCGGCATCCTGTGTCTCGGCRTGCACGGACTGCGGGGTGCTGAGCGGGTCGGACAGCGGGGTTCCTACCTGCTCGGCAGAGTAGGTGCTGCTCTCGGGACTGCAGTGCTGCCCTTTGAGCTGCTCGGGGGTCCTCGCCGGGTTCTTGATGCCCTTCTTCTGGGGCACGGCCGACTTGGAGAGCAGGAGCTGCTGCACCGTGTTGGAAATGTTCTCCACTTGGGAGGTGAGCGCCGTGAGGCTCTGCAAGCTGAGATCCGACAGGAGGTTCTCGGGGATCTTCTCCTTCTGCAAGTTTTTGCAGTTTCCGGACGGAGCATCCGGGCTCGTGCCGTCGGTGGGCGACGGRTTCAGCAAGGGCATGAAATGGCTGTGGTCGGTGATGCCGGCCGGGAAGGCGCCCGTGCCCAGCGACTGCTGGCTGTACTGGAAGTTCTCCAGGTTGGGCATGAGCGGCGAGGGAGTGGAGCTGTAGGACGGGGACCTGCCCACGGAGCGGGCCGGCGAGTGGCCGGCGCTGGGGCTGAAGGTCTGGTAATATTGCTCTGGGGTGCGCACGGGTGCCGCGTCGCCCTGGCAGTAGCTCTGGCCCGCCTGGTTGTAATGTTGGTACTTGGCTAAGTTTGGGTAGTGCAGAGCCTCCGCGCCGTGGTGCCGCCCTTGCAAAGCCGGCGGCGGCTGCGGCGGCTGCTGCGGCGGCTGCGGCGGCTGCGGCGGCGGCGGCTGCTCGTAGCCCATGCGGCTGGGCTGGTAGCCGTGCAGGTTGGGCACGCGCTGCGCGGCGGCCAGCGCGGCGGCGCTGCCCAGCGGCCGCTCGTGCTGCGGCGGCGGCCCCGACGGCGCCGTGCAGCTCTTGTAGGAATGCGCCGGCGGCGCGGCGCCCGCCGCCGACGAGTACGTGGAGGACGCGGGGAAGGACTGCGAGTGCTGGCCGAAGTGCGGCGCCGGCGAGAAGGGCATGGGCGAGGAGGACACGTCGCTGGGGTTGGGCAGCTTCTGCCTCTGCAGCTTGGGGTAGGGCAGAGCCGGCGGCTGCTGCGGCTGCTGCTGCTGCTGCTGCTGCTGGAAATGAGTCCGGAAGGGCAGCGGGGCGCCCGCTGGCTCGTGGTAGGGCCGCCCGCCGGCCGCTGGTTTCTTCAGCAAGCTCTCCTCATACTTGGCCACGGCGGCGGGCAGCGGCTGGCCGCCCCACGCCTGCAGGCTCTCGTCCCCCGTGTAGCGCCCGCCGTAGGGGCTGTTCTCCTGCACGCCGTAGCTGGAAAAGGCCGGCCGCCCTTGCAGCTGCTGGCCCGCTAGCTGCTTGCTGCTGCCCCGGTGGTATTTCTCCACGGCGCTGTTCTCGTAGCCCGCGTACGGCACGGGCTGCTGGCTGTAGTAGTCCTTGGCYAGCAGCCGCTGCCGCTCGCAGTTGGGCCCTGCCGGGCTTTGATGCCGGTAATTCTCCAGGCGGGATGCGTCTTGTGAAGGCGGCTGGTAGCTCTGCTGGTTGCCATGGAAACCACACCTTTCTCGAAAGGACTGCATGGCGCGCGCCGGGATCTGCCGGAGACAGGGAGGGAGGCGAGAGTTCACACGGAGCCGCTGCCGCGCGCGGCACCCCCGCCGTGACACCCGCTCGGCCGCCGCGTCCCCCGGCCGTGCCCCGCGCTGCACCGCCCGGTGCCACCCCGTGTCACCCCGCGCCGCCCGGCGCTGCGGCCCCGTCATGCAGGGAACGGCCTCGGTGCCCCCACGTCACCCTGTGCAACATGACCCCGTGTCGGGCCATGCTGAACCCTCCCTGTGCTGCTGTCCCCCTGCTTCCCGGCCCCAGTGCCCCTCATTGCTGCAACCCCTCTCGTTCATCCTCCCCAGGGACAGGGCAACCCGCGCTGCCCTCCGGCCCCATTCCCAGCCCCACTGTGCAGGCACAGCGAAGCACCCGGATTGCTTCCGATCCCACAGGCAGATAGGGAGCTTGCAGGGAGGGTCCCCAGCACCCRCGGGGTGAAGCTGCTTGGAGAGGGGACAACATTGGTGACCAGGAGGACTGCAGAGATGGAGCATCCCCAGCAGCAGCCCGCGCTGGCTCCTGCACACTGCAGAGCTCCCAGCGCCGTTCCCACCGTGTTTATTAGGGAAGCAGCTCCAAGGAGGGGACGCAGCGTGTCCCTGTCCCCGGCGGCCGCCGCTGGCCCCGTCTGACACGTTCCAGTGGCCACCTGCCGGGAGAGCCGCGGCAGGCCCTGCTCGCCGGCAGCCGCGTTTGCTTTGCTGCCTTCGCCCTGCATTTTTTTCCTCTTTTTTTCCCCCCCTTTCCATTTCTCCGCGGGGCAGCTGGCGGCGAGGGGCAGCTCTGAGTCACGGAGCTGCTGCTCCTGCTGCTGCACGGTGCAAACAGGGCTTCCCCACCACCAGGAGCAACCGCGAGGCCGGGCACGTATTGCATGGAAAACACAAGTCACTTACGGCGTGCTGAGCCCRGCATTAAAGCCCTCGGTGACACCCCGGCCCCAAAAGCCATCCAGACCGGCCTGCAAAGTCAGGGCCATGCAGCAACATGGGCAGTGGAGCAGAAGGCTCCAGGTAGCCCCCAGCAGCGAGAAAAGGGCCCCTAACACGACCCGGGGGAAGCGGGTTGGAGAAATGAAATCAGCTTGAGAAAACACTGCGCTGTTGCTCTAAGGGAGCCCTTTCCCTTCCTCTTTTATTATTAATAATTACTGCTTTCCCAACGCGCTGGGTCAAGGCCAGGCCGAGCGAAAGCACCGGGTGGTGGCGGGGAGGAGGGTCTGCATGCACACGGGGCGCGCAGAGCCATGCGCGGGGTGTGCGGGTACCGGGGTGCGCACACGTGCAGCACCGTGCACGCACACGGGGTGCACCAAGCGTGTGCACCACGCGCTCGCCCGCCCAGCGCCCCGGTGCTCGACGCCCTGGCCCATTTTGCAGCCTTGCAAACTGAGCCTTGGGGTGCGTGTGTAGCTGTGCTGCACGTGCACGGGGCCATGCAGRTGCCCAAGGGGTTGCCCGCATGCCAGCCATGCAGCCCATGCACCCAGGGCACGGCACAAGTGCTGGCTCGTTCCCGGGGCGCCGGCAGCTCCGCGGCACTGCCGGCCGCTCCGCCAGGCGCTCGCAGATGCTCCCTCCTGGTGCGAGCTGTTTCCTAGCAAGCGCTTTAATGGCATCAAATCAAGCTGTCGACAGCAGCAAGGTTAAGGCTCTTGGCAGGCGGGGGGAGGCGGCGGCTGCGGGCCCCCCCGGCCCTGCTCCTGCCTCACAGATCCTGCGGGCCCCTGTGCTTTCAATTAAGGGCGAGCTCTGCGCGATCGATGCGCGCCGCGCTGCAGCCAGACAGCCGCAAACAACAGCCGCGGCAGCACCGGCAGGACGCGGCGCCCCCGGCACCCCGCGGATACCGAGACCCCCCAAATCCCTCCGGGGCCAGAGCAGGACAGCTCAGCCCTGCCGCTTCCCTGGCCACTCGCTTGGCTTTTCCGATGCCCGCTCAGCAAGGATGCAGTGCCCAAAAACAGCCCCGCGGGGCCGTGCCGGCCCCCCCGGCCCCGCTCGCCGGCTCCCCGGGGAGCGAGCGCCTATCGAGGAGTGTCAGCCCCGGATTTGCTTAATTGCGCGCTGGTGGCGGTTAAAGCAAGCCTCGCTGGCAGGCTGCCACGCCGCAAACGGCCGCCTCTAATTTTATTATTAAGGGAGGGGAGAAAAGGGGAGTCGGGAAGGGGGAGGCAGCGGGTTGGGTGCGCAGGAGCGGTTGGGAATGGTTCCGGGCACRCTCTTGGATCCTGCTGCCCTCTGTGGAGCTGGGAAGGGGTCGGGGCGCAGGCGCCACGGACAGATAGACCCCCCCGGACCCCCTTGCTCGGCGCTGAGCTCTGGCCCTGCCAGGAGGCAGGAGGGATCTGCAGGGCAGGATCAGAGCAGCCGGCGTGGAGGGAGCTGCCCCCGTCCTGCCTCCCTCTGCACCAACCGTGCCGCCTTTGCACCCATCCTGCCCTTCCTTGTACCTATCCTGACCCCCTTTACACCCATCCTGCCCTTCCTTGTACC